TGATGTATCCATCTAAAGCGCTTTAAAAGTACTTCAATACTTCTTTATTGGCACTCTTAAAAAAATCCAAGAGACTGAATCCAACTTTCAGTTTGGATGTGAGCTCTTTATACTTTTTTAATATGAAGGTTGATTAAGAAACAGAAGTGCTCAATTTTTTAGACATCATTGCATGATGTTTTCATCCAAGTGGCTGTGTGCACAGTCAGAATTAAAAAAACGTGTGTATGTTGGATGGAGACGTGTGGAGCGTCAGGCAGGATCATTAGGCCCATTTGATAGAGACAGGTGACGTGAGAACGCACACCGACTGACACAACGTGCTTAATAAATGATAGCGACCCTGTCGAGAATTAATAACAGAGAAAAACTTCACAGAGCTGCGTGCTGCTGGAATCAATTATGCTGATAAAAGCTTCCCATTTTCTATCCGATGACCCCATCTTGAATAACAACCAGGGGCTGAGAGCGGACGGAGGCGGGGGAAGGTTTGGGCGTCTAGACATGCAGCGAGCCATGTGAGTCACACAGCAGCCAGGACAAACACCGGCCACTAAATTGGAACCACCCTGTCACATTTAATCTATTTTCATGTCAAGATTCCCACCGCTGTACCGTCTGTACTTTAAACCCTGCTCTACACGTCTTATTTTTACCATCCTCCTTTTCGTGGAATGAAAGGAAAGATTTCAGATATACTGTATTTATGCATGTTCCAGCCAGGAGCTTTTTCTGTCTGCTTGTTGGAGGGACAATAGTGAGCCTCTGTGAGAGGTATAGGTGTACCCATGATGGGAAAATGTACAAAATATAGGATGAGCTGAGTGTGTATCGTATTTTCTGCCATATAAGTCGCATCAGTCCAAAAATGTCTAATAAAGTGGAAAAACCATACCGTAAATAAGTCGCATCTATTATGCATCAGCGCTAACCACCCAGAAACGTGGGCCCGTGTTGTGCCAGAAATCGATTGGCTGCCAAAATGGGGGCCACGTGAACGTGCACGGGAGGACTTTAACAAGAATTTAACAAGATAACCACCTAAAAACAATTATTTGTTTGCTCAAAGTTATAGTAAAGTTGGTCTCAGGTGAACTTTTATTTAATAAATGCACTTTTTTCATTCAACCTTTATTTAGACCTGTAAATCCCAAACTTTATGGTCAAATCAGCTGCATTTCTCCTGGGCGGCACAGCGAAATGCAGCTGATTGGATGTTTGCTCCAGGAGTTGCGGAGCAAGACGACGGTGGCTTTGTATGGCAAGCCAAGTGTCTCATTAATAGAATATCTTACAAAAAGATTTGAAGCTCTCGACCTTGACCTCTCTAAGTGGCTTTAAGAATCTGTTGGACTCCTGGCAGGGACCAATGCAGACATGTTCCTGTTTTTCTACATTCGCCTTAGAATATAGCTGTTTTTTATTGCTTTTTTTAGCCATCTTATTTGTTAAAAAAAAAAATTGTATGCCTTTTTATAACTGTTTATTGTTGTCGCTGTTGTCCATTGTTTTCATCGTTCTTTGTTAAAATCAGGTCTCTCTTGTAAATGAGTCCTCAAGGCTCAATGGGATTTACCTGTCTAAATAAAGGTTGAATGAATGAATGAAAAATGGCCAATTTACCTAATAATGAGACACTTGGCTTGCCATAAGGCTCGAGGGCTCTCTAGTGCTGAAAATGGTAATGTTTAATATTTTTCATGTCAGAATGAATGAAATCGTCAGATCTCAGCTGAAAAATCGGTTATAAATATGGGGAGGGAAAAAGTATATTAGTCTCTTCGGTGTATAAGTCACAGGACTTGCAAATTTATGCAAAAAGATGTGTCTTATACAACAAAAAATACAGTGTCTTCACTTTGATCTGTGTGATCAACAAGAAAAACTACTAAAAAACATTTCAAATTAGACAATAAAGCCAAGCAGTTCTTGAAAACTTCACATTGTTTATGTCAGAAAATGAAACTAAAACATTAAGCACAATCTCCTGAGATGTTGTGATACCTTGTACGATCTTTTAGTTCTCGGAGTGTGTTGTTAATGACTGTCAGATACTACCACACTACAATTTTTACTTGGTATCTGTCAAATTCACGGAGGAATTGATATTTTTGTTTTGACTAAGGTCGATTTGCGCTGGTGGCAATCTTAAACTGTGTTGATTCCAAACTTGAAGCTAATTATTACTTTCTGTGAGTTTAATTAAAATCTGTTCAGTAGTTTCTGTTATATTTTACTACATTTTACAAACAGTCATGACCCCTACAGTAAATGCAAAAGCTTTATTTAGTGGTGCTCTGAGTTTATATTTGGGATATGCTTTACTACCACCACACCAAATGTTAGCTCAATATTTGTTAAATTGACTCAGTTATCATTTTTGTGTTTCCTAAGGTCAGCTGGCCATGGTGACCATTTGGAATGGGGTTGACTCCAAAACTGAAACACTTGAAGATGTTTTGTTAAAGTTTGCTGTTGTTGTTGTTCTAGTTCTTCTTCTTCTTCCGGCTTGTTCATCTTCAGGCGTCTCCACAGCGAGTCATCCTCCTCCATCTCACTCTGTCCTCTGCATCCTCTGTCCTCACTCCAACTACCTCCATGTCCTCTCTAACTGCATCCATATATCTCCTCTTTGTCTTTTTCCTGGCAGCTGCATTTCTAACATCCTTCTACCAGTATACCCACTGTCCCTTCTCTGGACATGTCCAAACCATCTCAGTCTGCCCTCTCTAACTTTATCTCCCAGTTGTTCAACCTGTGCTGTACCTCTGATGATCTCATTCCTAATCTTATCCATCCTTGTCACTCCTAAGGAGAACCTCAACATCTTCATTTCTGCCACTTCCAGTTCTTTAGCCTGTCTTTTTGTCCATGTCTCTGTCTCCAGACCAGACAATATAGCTTGTCTCGGTGTTTCAAAATAAATTTAGTTAACAAACAGACACAGCTGATTCCAGTAAGTAATGGCAACAATTTTAAAACAGATCTTGTGAGCTCAGCTTGAACAGGTTGTGTTGGAGACTCATTCATTCATTCAACTTTTATTTATACAGGCTAGCCTCATTGAGCCACGGGGACTTATTTGCAAGAGGGACCTGTTCCAGACAGAACATATAAAGTACAGACAACAAAAAGGTGGCTGAGATGACTCTCAGTTACTACTACACATATTTTTAAAGGGCCCTGCCATACTCCATCTGAAGCCAAACAGTGGACTTGCAGTCACACGGTTGCAGGATGTTCTTTTTAGCACACACATTTCATAGTCCATACAGATGCAAAGATCCTAGGAAACCCCTCCCACTGCAGTATACGTCACAGTATGTCTCTTCCCTCAAAGGTCTCCACTCTGCCTTGCATCAGTCATTTGGCCACAGATCTGTCATGAAGAAAGCACCGCAACTTTCAGCAGACAAACTCATCTGTGCATGTCTGTCCAATCTCCATCCAGAAGTTTTTGGCTATTCAACTATTTGAGTGTGTCTTAGAGTCATATAGATGAGTGTCTGAGCACTTTACCGTGTTAACAAACATGCCCACAGCTTCTGACAAATCATACAATACTTTATGGATATTCCTGTGAAAAAACCTTCAGCCCAGAACTGGTATCAAGTCAGGGCAGGCAAATTTTGGAGAAAAATATTCTTGCTTTATCTCCCTTACTCAAAAGGAGCCACACTCGATGACAGGAGAATCATTTTAACTGTTATTTTACTTGCAAGGACAGATTTTCAGGACAGGTTACACAGATATGCAGGAAGTACACACACAAAGACCAGTCACAAGAATCTGCCACAAGCAGTGTGCAGCTTGTTTTTATAGACTTATCAGTTCAGCTGAGCTCACAGACTTGGAGGCGACCTTGGAGTTTCAGCTGCACATAGCGGCTTCACCCAGCTCCTCATTCAGCTTTCTACTAACCCAAAAGTTTAGTTCATGGGCAGAGTTCACATTCTCAGCCTTATTAATAAAAACATCCATAAACTTTGACCAAAAATTCCCTAGCAGCAAAGTCACTCTGAGAACAAAATGACATAATTCTTGTCACCAACAACGTCAAAGAGAAACAATTTTGTGGCTTCGGATGGAGTATACAGGGCCTTTAACTCAACATCTGTATAATGGGTCAGTTACAGTTATTTATTGTTTGCTAAGGTCACTTAACTTATCAGATTGACTACAAAAGTTAAAAAAAAAATGATGGTGTAGAGGCAGGGCAGCTGGCTCTGGACGCGAAAGTCCCAGGTTCAATCCCCGGTCATTGCATACCTTGTGGTGTCTCTGGGCAGCGCACCTTATCCCCAAAATGCCCCCCAAGCACCCTCAATAGCAGCCCACTGCACCACCTGGTGGTGGATGGGTTAAATGCAGAGACTAATTTCGCCATTGTATGGAAACATACAGTGATGACAGTATTATTATTGTTATTATTATATATACCCAATTATTATTTGCCAAGAGTTTCATTAAAATTCATCTGATGTGTGATGAGATTATTTGCTAATGCCACAGACTCACAAACACACACAACACAGGCAAAAACATAATCTGCCTTTTGTTGTTGGTGGCAGGTGGTAACCATTTCAAATTACATACAGGTACAGAGTCTGACTCTTGCCCACACAGTCTACTATTTAATGCTGACCATGCAGACGAGCTCCACCTCTTTGATTAGTGGTATTTGGTCAGAAAGAACACGCTTCACTTTGCTTTGCTCTTCCACCTCCGCTCACATAAATACGCCTGTGCACCCACCAGCATATGCTCAACACGTCTGTCAACAAACTGCTCCGCAGCACATCGTCGTGTTGGAAGCAGAAGTTATCTGAATGTTTTTCTCACCTGTATGAAATGTGGGAGCTCTTGGTGTTCCTGGCCACAGTCAGTATCAGTAATGTGAACCATGACTGTCAGACTGTTAATTCTTTCTGATGCTCTGTGTTCTTTCCACAAATAAAATTTGCTGTGCCGTTATTTTTTATTTTTTTCTCTTCCTCCAGAATGCAGATGACCTCTTGGTAGCTTCGGCAGAATGTTCGAGCGATGACGAAGATTTCGAGGAGTGCGAGCCTGGAAATGGTGAGTTAGCTCTTGGAGTTTTGTCGTCGGTGTGTTTTATTCAGGACCCCCCACACAAAAAAATAGAAAAAGAAACGACTAGAACTCTGCCTCTTGCCACACTTCTAAGTGACACGTAGTGACTGTGCAGCCCCCCCTGTATGTAGCTCTGATTGGCCAGATGTGCACGCTACAAACAATTTTCTTCTTGGTTTTCGGAGCAGCAGGAAGTCAGCCATATTGTGCTCCTTCAATTGCTCAGCAACGTGGTAATATCTGGCATTTATCCAGCTGTTGCGCTGATCTCCTGCCCCGACTTTAACAAGGACGGACAGTTTCAATGTGGGACTGTGGTTTGTTGTGTGACGCGTACAGCTGTAGCCTGCAAGACCTGGTGGCTGAGCCACCGTCACTGTGACTGGTGGGTCATTGTTCCGACACCTCCGACAGGAGGGAGAAGTGAAAGGTCATGTGTTTTACTCCCAACCTCTGTGCTCTCTAGTTCTATTATTTTTGAAAACTGACAAGAACCATGTTTGTTCAGAGAAGCAGTATGACTCAAACAACTTCAACTACACACAAAAAAAAGTCATAAAGGAGTAAAAGGTCCTTCAGAATTGAAATAGCACACTTTGTCCTCAAAAATACAAACAGTTAAGTAGAATTTTAAATTTAACAGATATGTGGGTCAGACTAAACCTTTAATCAAAACAGTGACTGTATAGCACATGTTCATATGGTGTTAAAAATGTGATTAAAACAGGGGACACAAGACATGCCTTCAGAACCATGATTTGATTTGTACATTAAGAAATACCAAAACATACAGCAAAAATACTGAAAACATACTAAAAATACTAATAAAATACTAAAAAAAATACTAAAAACAAGACGCCAAAGTTGAAACATAAATACACCTACAGTGTGATTTGTTAGCCGTGAGGTTCTTTCAACATCATGGTTCTGTTCTGTTAGCAGCATGGTCTTGTTAGCAACATTAGCAGGTCTTGTTAGCAGGATCGGTCAGCAGCTTGATGATAATAACGACCACAGCAGCTGCTCTCATAGACCGCAGTCCAGAACCTGGTCCAGCCGACAGAGAACATCCAAGATTTTCCCCGCGGAGCCAAACAGGTCCGTAGAGTTAGGTCCGTGCAGGCAGATGGAGGATCATGGAGACAGCCGCCATGATAGGCCGGAGCCTGAACCCGAGGCTGGAGGGGGGAACTGAACCACTATGGCAGGATGGCAATGCAGCGACACACAAAACTCCACAAGTGGGTTGTGTTCATAGCCGTAGCGGGGGTGTTTTGCATAGGCGCCAAAAAAAAAAAGATGTAGTCGAAGCAGAGCTCCCATCAGTGCGACCATGCTGCGGCGCTCGTGACATCAGCTACAACTACCTACTGAATACAGAGGGACACGCAAAGGGAGCAGAGCTGCAGGAACTGTCTACCATGACCCGAGCGGTGGTGAAAAGGGCGTTTGTGTGAGGTATAAACTGCAGAATTGGCCAGGTGTTACCTGTGATGCGAGCAAATGGTCCAGTCCTCGAGCCTAAGTAAAGATTGCACTACTATAGTGTGAAGACTTTGGCCTCTGCTGCTGCATGTGCACTTTAATACTTGAATGGCTATTTGAATAAATTTTTGCAGTTAATGTAAATATTGGTTGACTGTATATAATTCTGTTCACTATAAATATACGGCACTAGCAAACTGCAAAACATTCAGTCACTGTCTACTCCTTCCATGAGTCCAAATCTGGTCTTCTGATAGACTGTTGACCTTGTTGTAGGTCCTCAGTCATTTACATTGATCAATTAATAAATGCAGTGTACTGTTAAATATACAGATATGCTACACAGACAAAAATACAGACTGAAAAGTGAACCTCAAACATTAACTGCTCAGAAACATCAGCCGGATCTTGAAAACTCTTATTGTGAGCAGCAAAACATGCTGATGGTCATACGTGGATTTTTATGTTTCTAAAGTGGTTTAGGTTGCAGCTATAAAGACTAAAAAATAAACCTCGTTCCCAGTTTTGATGAGAATATTTTTAGCTCAGATAGCTCAGCGTGGGGTGCTTTCTGCATTTGGGGGCATTTGAGAGAACATCGGAAGTTCAGTAACTGTGAAAAAAGACAAAAATGTCCATGTTTTGGTGAATTATTTGTATATGAACCAAAACAAAAAAAAGAGTTGCAAATTTAATTTCAATTAATTCAGTTTATTTATAAAGTGCCAAGTCACAACAGAAGTCATCTCAGGGCACTGAACAGAAACATTCAGATATATAAAAATCAGTTAATACCAATATTTATCTAAGGAGCCAGGAGACTGTTTCGAGTTGAAATGTACAAAGTAAATGCAAAAAGAGTTTGAAAAAGATTTTGAAATGTTTAGACAATTCAGAAGTGGGGACTTGGCATCATCAATTTATCTATTCATAAGAAAAATCTCCTGAAATGATCAAACCTAAAAACTGTCAAAGATGCCAAATTTTAACCCATTTAAACTTTAAGTGTTTGTGGCGAAGATGTAGAGCTCCAAAGAGATTCTTCCTCCAAAAAAATAAAGTCCTTTAAAATTCCATCTTTATTTCTCACAGTTTTTTGCAGGTTTTATTTACAGAGTTTAACACACACACACACATATATATATATATAT